TGTAGACTACCCACCAAAAGGTGCAACAAGACACTGCTAGGCGTCGACCACTAGTGCCGCCAACTCAACAGGCCACAAATAACTAAGGAGTAGGGACGTCAAACCCCAAGAACGACCAACTGGTGGAAATGATCAGAACAATGGCTGCATAAGCGGTGCAACAAAATGTGGCTAAGTTGAGAAATCAGCAACCAACCACGCAAAACCTTAATTAGCCACGCTTCACCGATATCACCCTAACAGGTCATAATTCAGCCGATGACCAGTCTAGCTCATCGGCACCAAGGGGCGACCAGCACCCTCGATGTCACAAAGCACACTCCGCTCACGAGCGTGAGTCCCGAGGGCAAACTAACCCCGAGAGATGACCAGGGAAATAGCCAATGGGTGAAAGCGAAGGTAATGATCGCCCACGAGATACTCGACCTGCTCGACAATATCGTCAGCGTTAGCATGCCAATTTTAACCCACGCCCAAGACAAGCTCGGTCTTCATTAACTCGCGAGACAAGTCATGTGCGCCAATCTAGTAATGACTAACGTTCCGGTTATAACCAATGTCGTGAGCAACATATTAATAAGCATGATTGCGCCTACCAACTTAGCCATCACGACTCAACTTCACGAATCAACGCACATAATGGAGGGGGTTCATGAGCAACAAATTTGTGAACTCACCTGCTCGAAGTAAGGCTAAACAGAGCCAGTCAGGGCAATCACAATGAAGACTTGGATCGGGTGCAGAAAATGCTCAATGTTCTAAGAGCCTGCTAGAATAATGTGGTGAAAGAAATAGTGAGCTTTCCTTTCACAGAGGAAGTTCATTGGACCCTGCTTCCCCAAGGATTCAGGGTGCCAGAAAGTAAGTTCGACAAGAAAGGAGATCCCAAAGACCACCTTCAATGACCTGATAAAGCTGTATTAGGTCTATGACTTAGCAAAGTGTCGTTGCTTTGTAATCACATTGGTAGAAGATGCCAATAGGTGGTACAAAAGACTCAAGGCGAACTCCATCAGTTCTTGGCAACAATTCTCCTTGCTATATTTGCAGAAATTCCAAGCGAGGAGATAGTTCGCAATGTCACTCAGCTACTTGAGCAACATTCATTATGAAAGAGATGAAACATTGACCTCGTATTTAACGAGGTTCTAAAATAAACAAGCAAAGGTTGCAGATGCACCCGAAAAGTCAATTCAGACTTTGCTAATTGCAGGCATCAGGTCGCAAATGGAGCCATGGAAAGAGCTCCAAAGTGAAGATCATGTGAGCTTGGCAAAGTTTTACCAGATGGCTACAAAACATAGCGAGGAGAAAGCTCGCTAGCAACCTTAACCAGAAGCTCACCACGAAGAGCCCTGGACAAGCGACAAGATCGACCACCAAACAAGCAAAAAGGCCAAGACCATAATGATAGGGACTAGAACAGGTCACTAAAGAGATGGAGAACAAATAATTGGGGGGACAGGCAGCCTTTCCTATGATATACAAAATACACCCATCATGCAAGACATAGCTCACATGTATGAAGTCTCCCGAGAGGCGAAGAGACTGCCCACTCCAGAAAGAATGAGAGGGGCATCGAGTAAAAGAGATAGATAAAAATATTGTCGATACCACTAGGACATTAGACACAATACCATCAAAGACTTGATACGAATGGGCCACTTAAAGGAATTTGTTAAGGAGACACCAGCTTGCGAAAATGTTGGCGAGAAAAATAAGCAGGTCCAGCAAGCCCCGGCCAATGCCAATAATAAAGTCCTAGTAGGCATGATCTATGAGGGGCCTGACATAGTACGGAGATCAAGGCACGCTCAGGAGCAATATGCTTAAGAGGCCAGAATAGACTTAGCCCCCCGAGTAATGAGCTATGAACAGAAGCCACCGAAGCGGCTTAGATAAGAGAGTGAGGTGGCAAAATTCACAGTAAAAAAATGTGAAAAATCCCCTCACCATAATCATGATGCGATCGTAATCATAGCTAAGATCAGCAATGTCAGGGTACTACGGGTGATGGTTGATAATGGAAGTGCAGTGAACTTCATTTTCGTGGGAGCTTTCCGAGAAATGAGGTTTACAAAGAAAGACTTGAGGGCGTGCCCATCGCCGCTCTATGGATTCACCTGGGACAGCCTAGTCCCTAAGGGAATGATCGACCTGCTCGTGACTCTGAGGGCAGAACTCAAAATCAGGACAATGATGACATAATTCTTAGTGGTAGACTGCCCGACTACATATAATGTCATCCTCGGAAGACCAATTCTGGATGATTTGAGCGTAGTCACTTCAGTGCGCTACCAAGTAATGAGGTTTCCGACTCTCAAGAGAGTCACGACGATCAGAAGATGCAGAAAGGAATCTTAGGAATGTTACAACCTAGCCATCAATGTTGCACTAAAATGGAAACTCCCGAGAACCATGGTCATTGCAGAGTCCAAGCTACACCCCAGACCTCTCGAGGACATAATAGATCTTTGCATCCATAAGGAAGAGCCCATAGTAAGGCCAAAATAAGAACTACTAGAAATATCTGTTAGCGAGGAAGACCCTACTTGCATACTGAAGGTCGATAGCAGTTGAGCAAAGAAATGATTGATAATTTGGTGGGATTTTTGAAGAAAAACCTCGACGTGTTCGCATGGGTGCATGCTGATATGGTGAGGATCAACCCTAAGGTAATGTGCCATAGGTTAAACATCAACCCAGCAGCTTGACTAATAAGACAAAAAAGAAGATCTGTGGATGCAAAGCACTCAAAGATGAAGTTGAAAAACTCTTGAACATCAACTTCATTAGAGAAGTGAAGTATCCGGACTGACTCGTCAACTTAGTCCTGGTGAAGAAGTCGAATGGAAATTGGCAGACTTGCGTCGACTTCACAAACTTAAATAAAGTCTATCCGAAAGACAGCTTTTTCCTATCCTAGATCGACCAATTAGTAAATGCAATGGCCGAGAATGCACTACTTAGCTTCATGGATGCATACTCGAGATACAACCAAATTCTGATGTACCAGCCCAATGAAGAACACACCTCTGTTGTTACTGACCGGGGTATTTATTATTACAGGATTTTGCCGTTTGGCCTGAAGAATGCTAGGGTGACCTACCAGCGCCTGGTAAACAAGATGTTCATCAACCAAATTGGCAAAACAATGGAGGCGTACATCGATGACATGCTCATGAAATCAAAAGTCATCGAAAGCCACATTGAGCACCTTGGGGAGATGTTTGACATCCTCAGAAAATACAGAATAAAAATCAACCCTTTTAAGTGTGCTTTCGGAGTAAGCTTGAGAAAGTTCTTGGATTTCCTGGNTAAGTTAAACATCAACCCAGCAGCTTGACTAATAAGACAAAAAAGAAGATCTGTGGATGCAAAGCACTCAAAGATGAAGTTGAAAAACTCTTGAACATCAACTTCATTAGAGAAGTGAAGTACCCAGACTGACTCGTCAACTTAGTCCTAGTGAAGAAGTCGAATGGAAATTGGCAGACTTGCGTCGACTTCATAAATTTAAATAAAGTCTATCCGAAAGACAGCTTTTTCCTATCCTAGATCGACCAATTAGTAAATGCGATGGCTGAGAATGCACTACTTAGCTTCATGGATGCATACTCGAGATACAACCAAATTCTGATGTATCAGCCCAATGAAGAACACACCTCCGTTGTTACTGACCGGGGTATTTATTATTACAGGATTATGCCGTTTGGCCTGAAGAATGCTAGGGTGACCTACCAGCGCCTGGTAAACAAGATGTTCATCAACCAAATTGGCAAAACAATGGAGGCGTACATCGATGACATGCTCGTGAAATCAAAAGTCATCGAAAGCCACATTGAGCACCTTGGGGAGATGTTTGACATCCTCAGAAAATACAGAATAAAAATCAACCCTTTTAAGTGTGCTTTCGGAGTAAGCTTGAGAAAGTTCTTGGATTTCCTGGTACACCATCGAGATGTTGAAGCCAACCTAGAGAAGATTCAAGCTCTCTTGGATATGAAAAGCTCGACCAGCATAAGGCAGGTGTAAGGCTTGACAAGGCATGTGGCCACACTTAGTATGTTTTTTTCTCGAGCCACAGATAGGTGCCTGCCATTTTTTGAGACTTTAAAGTGGAGAAAGAGTTTCAAGTGGACAGAGGAGTGTGAGAAGGCTTTCTAGGAGTTGAAGAAACATCTAAGACAACCTCTTTTGTTGTCAAAATCTGTCTAGGGTGAGCCACTACTACTATATTTATCAATGTCCAAGTATGCGATCAGTGCGGCTTTGGTACGTGAAGAAGGGGAAGTGTAGTGGCCGGTGTACTATGTAAGCAAAAGGTTGCTTGATGCAGAGACAAGATACCCTAAGATTGAGAAGTTCACCTATGCCCTTGTCACTGCCACTAGGAAGCTGCGACCCTATTTCCAGGCACACTTTATTCATGTGCTAACAAACTTTCTGTTAAGGAAGATAATGCAAAAGCTCGAGGCATTAGGTAGACTGATCTAGTGGACAATGGAAATGAGTTAGCATGATATCAAGTACATCCGGAGAATGGCAATCAAAGGTTAGGCTTTGGTGGACTTCATATCGGAATTCTGTTATTAGCTAGAAGGAGAAATAAGCCCGTCAAGGGCAAGCACCTCATAGGAAAGCGAGCAGCAAAAACCAAAGCTCAACGATCTATGGTAGTGGACTCTGTATGTAGATGGGTCCTCAAATGAGAATGGGGCCGGAGCGAGGCTTTTACTCGAAAGCGCCAAAGGAAACTCGATCAAAGTCGTAGTAAGGTTTAGGTTCACTGCCTCCAACAATGAAGCTGAGTACGAGGCATTGCTCACAGGAATCCGCCTCGCCAAGGAAATGAAGGTAGAGTCCATCAAGTTTTATAGTAACTCCTAGCTCGTAGTCTACCAGATTACCAGGAAGTATCAGGCGAAGGGGTATAGAATGGCATCCTACCTCCAACTAGTGAAGTCCGAGCTTGAGCAGTTCAGATCCTTCATAGTTCTTCAGATCCCAAGGGAGAAGAATTCAGTAGCCGATGCTCTAGCCCGCCTAGCCTCTGCAATGAGCCAAGAGAAAACTGATTCAATACCTGTTAAGTTCCTCCCAAGTCCAAGCATCTCTACTCCACAAGAACCAGTCTTAGCAACAAGTTAGAGATATAGTTAGATGGATGCAATTATTGCCTACCTAAGAGATGACACATTACCTGAAGGGAGAAATGAAGCCAGAACACTCTGCGCAAAATCAACTCGATACACGCTCATCAATGACAAGTTGTATAAGCGTGGTTCAATTCACCATTATTGCGACATTGACCATGAGGATGTGGACTATGTTCTAAGAGAGATCCATGAAGGCATCTATGGGAACCATGCAGGAGGCAGATCCCTAGCGTAAAAAGTGCTTCGTCATGGTTATTATTGGCCGACAGTTTTTTATGATGCAGTAGACTATGTGCACAGATTCGACAGATGCTAGAGGTTCATAGATGTTCCGCGAGCTCCACCCCAAGAGTTAACTACTTTGACAAGCCCCTGGTCATCTGCAATCTGGGGCATCGACCTGATAGGCCCTTTGCCTTAAGGAAAATAGGGCGTTAAGTTTGCAGTAGTTGCTATGGACTACTTCACCAAGTGGGCAGAAGTTGAGCCTTTAGCCACCCTTATGTCGAACAAGTTGAAGGATCTTATCTGTCATACCCCCTCCCGAGCATCCCTATCCCATCGGATCCGGACGCTCCAGGAGACTCAGGATCCCGAAAGGAAGGTGAATACTCTATATATATATAAAGTTCATAAAAACAATTCCATTTAGAGACAAAAGTGAAAAGTAATGCATTTGCGTGTTTAAGGTCTAGAAAGTGGAAATAGACAAAATAATTATTCTAAAACCGAGAACTGAAAATCCAGTTATAAAAAGAAACGTAGTATCAGAGTCCACTAAAATTTGTAAAAGATGCAAATCATCATGCGTCAAGGCCAACCTAGAGCGTAAAGTATGCTCCACACGAACCCGATCTATGATCCTGGGGGAGGAAACATAAAACAGTGAGCTGGGAAGCCCAATGAGCGGATAATATATTTTATACGAAAATAACTTTAACTTTGAAAACATACATGAATAATCCAGTTGCATGCCACACAACACCAATACATTTACATGATAAGGCAACACCATATATTATTCTCGGATGCCATGAAATCACACACCACTATCATATAAAATAAATCAATTATCACCACCCCACTAGCACTTAGGGACCTGGATCATAACTATCCGAACTAGTCCCTAACTCAGACATGAAGCTACACCACCTGTAATCTACCCTTGGGGTGGCACCATCCGCAGTCTACCCTCTGGGATGGTACGAACATCACTGGATAACCATGCTCGACCTACAATCTACCCTCAGGGCGTCATGATATGGTATCAAATATAATCTCACCCACGATCTACCCTCGGGGCGTCCAAAATCCCACACCGGCCAATAACCGCCTAGTGTAATCCCGTCCGGAGCTCATCATGCGTCCGTCTTGTCCTAGTAGGATATCCCAATCATTCTTTAGGACAGACCATCTCAATGCGCATGAGGATAAATATCAAATACTAGCTGATGTCTGAAGGGGGATGGGTACGGTTTCCAATCCGGGAGTCAAACATAATAATAATCATGCATCCACAATTTCATTCCAAATTGCATCAGCATGCCTTATGCATATAAAAGTATAATATGATATAAATTTCAAATAAAAGGCATGTAATCATGAATGCAACGCTCACCACATCAAATACAAGTGTGTAATTCTATTTACGCCCTATATTATCATCATTTTCTAAGGTCCAAAACTTCTAAACATGACAATTAACCCCCTACTGCTAAGAGCCTACTGCCCATAGAAAAAATCTAACATTTTTATTCAACACTCTTTCTAAAATTTCCAAAATAATGTACCATTTATAGTATTTAATATCTCTTAACTTCATATCCATTCTACCTTAATACTATTATACCTTTTTACCAACTTCCAGCACTCATTCCCACTCAAAATCACGTTTAATCAAGTCCGCGTTTATGAAAATGCGCAATTACTTCACTAATGATCCAAAATATCTAGCCAACAATACAACAACAATACAGCAAAAATATATATGTACACTTTAAGTAAACCTCCAACTCATGATTTCATACCCATTACCTCCAAAAAAATCCAGCCAATCTCTAACCTTTTAGGCAAGTAAACGTTCCCATTCTATACAATATAGGCAGCAGTCTCATGCCCATTATTTCCCAAATTTTCCAGTCGTCCCTCATCACAAAGCTTAGCAAAACATTCAAATATAAAATTCAAAATTCATTAGTATCCACCCATACTCATGTTTCTAATCAAGTCAATTTTATAACTAACCCACAACCTTCCAATTCATTCTACACCATTGTTTCAAAACATAAAATACTCCCAATTGTAAACAGATAAAAGAGCCCAATGCCAATCAAATTAACCAACCATAGCATGCATTTCCGTATAATCCGAGGAAAGTTAAAATTTACATAAACACAATTTTATAACCATTCTTATTAATGAAAATTCATTTGCCCATCTTAATATAATTTTTTTTTTTCCACCTCCACTCCAGCACATAATTAAACCATTTCATTAATCAAAAGAAACATTCAGCAACCTTTAATTAATTCCATATGAACACCGTATACATACACATGCAACAAGCAACTAAAAAAATCAAATTTTCAAAACCCCAATCTACTGCAAATCATCCAAACTAACCAACCACCAACACATTTCAATTTATCTCAACAAGACAAAGATTCATAATAAACAAGTATCACACCAAAAACCAATAGTTGGTAAAACTCAACCCAACACTTGCCAGCACACACCGCCAACTAATATAAATATACAGCAGGGCATTATACAAAATTATACCATTAATACAACTTTCCAGCAACCGAAATGCACATGCATATACCACTCATAATTTTAATTTAAATATTTTGTATACAGTACAAATGCAGAAAATAAGGAAAATACATTTGAAAATCATTTTAATATATGTTCCACTCACCTTTCTCCTTTGCTTTCAACTCAAGTGCTCGTCCTCCTATCTTCTTCACCTATTTGATTCAAAATTGAAATAAGGATTGGGATCTAAACAATGAGGGAAATGAAAGACTGAATAATACGATGAAGGATTGAAAATGCATGTCTAACCCTTAGTACTTTAACCTTCTGAAATTCTTCCCCTGCAAATCACTTCGGCCCTCTTCTACTTCAACTTAAAAATTGTTTTTCTCTCTTTCAATTTACACAGGAGAATGAACGCAAAATGAAAGAGAAAAAAAAAAAAAAAAAAAAAAAAACAAGCTTTTTTTTTTCCTTTCATTCTCTCGGCTACCTCTTTCTCCACTCCCCCATTCTTCTTCTCCTCATCTCAATTTAATAGAAATTCACAACCATCATTGGCAAAACAAGGTGCCAAAACCGGGGACTGATTCTCCAAAAAAAAATAAAAAAAATTATCTTTAATCCATATTGCAATGGCCAATTATCATGCATCCCTTAGTCTTTGATTCTTACATCTTGCACCCCAAAATCCTTTAATTAAAGTTCTGTTTTATCACGATCTCACCCCTAGAAAACTATGTATGTGCCCTTGCATGACACAATATTAATAAGACCCATCATCTTTAATCAATTTCATAATGTCGTTGAAAGATTTTCACACTTCCAATATCACACAAATGTACCTGTAAAACTATTTAATAAACCCACTAGGCCTTATTTCTTACTAAAACGTCTCCAAAAAGTTTCAATTCTTACACATTACCCCCTAGATTCACATAAATAAAATTAAATAAAATCCACCAAGAAAATACGGAGTATTACAATTTTGTCTACAAAAAACATCATTTGTAGGTTCAGAATCCCCTACATTATAATAACCAACAACGAAAAATAGTTTGACAGTGAAGACTTCAGATCTTTTTGCATACAGCTTGGTATTAAGAAGAGCTTCACTGCTGTTTATTGGCCTCAAGCCAATGGTCAAGTAGAGGTTGTAAACAAAGTTATCAAGCACACCATTAAGAAGAAGCTCGACGCCCTAAAGGGAAGATGGGTATAAGAATTTCCTGAGGCCTTGTGGTCTTACAGAATGATAGCCAGAAGCTTGATAGCAAAAACCCCATTCTCTCTATCATACGGGTGTGAAGCAATGACCTCAGTTGGAGTAGGGATTAGTTCGTTCTGTAAGGAAGTTTTCAACAAAGAAACCAACGAAGATCTTTTCCACCTGAGGGTAGACCTAATCGAAGAACATCAGGCCAAGTCTCAGTTAAGGCTCGCCTTATATCAACAACGAGCCAGACAATACTTTAACACCAAAGTCAAGAACAAGGACTTTGAAATGGGTGACCTAGTCCTCAAAAATGTCGTCCAAGGTACTCAAAACTCAAACTTGGGGGCATGTGGGCCCAAATAGGAAGGTTCATTCAAGATCTCCGAAATGGCATTGAAGGATAAGGCTATTTCCAGGATTGGTCATCACCAGCATGCATCACCTTGAGAGCAAATATAGCAGCTGTTTCATGGATGGGGGTGTCTCCAACAATAGTTGCTTATATTAAAGGTGTGTTTTCCCTCGGATGCATCTTTAAGGGAGAATGATCTGATGGCCTATGCAAATATGGGAATTGAAGATGATTTTTGTCGATAGATTTTCTTTTTTGAATGATTGGAAAGTATTAACTATTGTTCATAGTTAATTTTCCAATCATCTAGGTATTATATATGATGTAAAGAATGATGGCTACAATTACCTCCATTCTGCTTCCTTTTACTAACGCTTCGTCTTATTTTGTTATTTTTTTTTCTATTCAATATTATATATGATGTAAGTATAGACATAAATATTTTTATCATTATTGAGATGACAAACAATATTTGTCATGCCTATATTTTTTGACAATAAAAAATTTGTTCGTAAAAAAATTTGTATAAAAACTTATTGTATGCTATAAATTTTTTAAAAATGATTCCCATGACTATACAAATTTGACAAATAATTTGTCATATACACAAACATGTGACAAACTAAACGTGTCACAATAAAGTCAATGACA